ATCTAATTATACCAGCTAACAATGCAGATAGCATGGAAGTAATAAACATATTATTCGTTTGAAACTTGCCTTAGATAACTTCGTGCATTTCCTTTAGTATTTCTAGCATGAACTTTATGTCCTAAGTTACATGTAGGGATATATGGCTGCAAGACTATAACGCGGATAGTAAGGTAAATCTACAGCTTTATAACTCAAGCCCAATCAGGCCAAGAAACTAGTCAGAGCAGTGGCACAGTCCTGTGGCACGGTGGCCACCTGCTCCAGTAGTCTCTCAGCTCCCACAGGTGAGGCTGTCGCGATAGTCCTGAATCTCTCCTATTTTAAAGGAAGTTTTACTCTTAGAAAAGAGCTCAAACAAAGAGTTGTGGGCAAAAGCAGAAGCAAGGAAATTCGCACTGCAGGAGTGCCCTACCGAGACCTGCAGGCTCTTCTTAGTCCTCGAGACATGAGTCGTTTCTACACAGGCGCCCGGCGTCAGGGGGAAGGCTGGAACGGGCAGGGGAGAGGGCAGTGTCTGATGCAGGCCAGGGGAGATCTGGGCCAGGCTCTTCCGTTTCCCGGCTGATTTGGCAGGTAGGATGCTGGATGAACGGACTGCGGTAGCAGAAACCGCCAGCATTTCCTGTGACAAAGAAAAGCCTAGTGCAGCTTAAAGTTTTGAAGACCACTGCGGGTCTCTGAGAGCCTCAGGGTGGAATCCTTTGCACTGGATATCAAAGTGACAGTGACCACCCCGAGCCCACACGTACTCTGACACCGCATCCCAGCAAGGCATGGCAGTGGAGGGTGTCTCGTGCTCTAACCCAAAACAGTCCCCGGGAATGTGTGAGTGTTAGAATTGTCGCTTGAGTTGCCTTACTTCCACCTTAAATAACACAGTCTGAAAACTGGACATATAGTTTCTACTCCTGGAGTCCATAGTCTAAAAGAGCATTTTAGCACCTACCTTGTAGAACGACAGGGCTACTTTTGGAACTAGCCCTTAGTGTCAGACTTACAAAGCCATTTAGGGGATTAACTCCTATTGAGCTTTAAAGGAAATAATTCTTTCACTCACTGAGGCAGAGCTTCAGCTACTGTAAATAAATACCATTGATTTGAACTTTTGCATAGCTCATAAAACAAAAGTTTTAGAGAAGCATGATGCAGATAGGATTTAAAAATAAATTTATAAAAATCAGAGCCCTGGTTCCCAGATGTCTTTATGATTACAAAAAAAATCACTAACCCTAGAAATTAATCTGAGAGTGAGAACAGTCCTCTGAAATCTTTTCTTTTTCCCAAGATTTCTTATTTTGGATCTCTCAAGAGTCAGCTACCTGTCATCAAACTGACAAATGCTGGTCCTCCTGTCCCCTAGTCCTGCAATAAGACCTAGATAGGAAGTAAGTGGTTAAATTGCACAGCACAGTTAGAACAAGCTATTTCTGAGTGTTCTTGAAAAAATTTAGGTGCCTAAGAGAAAAGGTACCTGGGAATTTAGGGCAGATGGAGGTGAGAAAGAGGGTTAAGTGCTGGACTACCCTGCCAAACATGGGGGTTTGGAGAAGTTCAGCTTCTTGTGTTTCTTGGTGCGTCCATCCCTTAAAGCAGGCTGTTTCCTCACAGAAGCGTTGTTTTACCCCCAGATACACAGGCAAGGGAGAGCAGAAAACTCTCTTGAGTCAGAGAAGCTTTTTAAGGTAAAGGAACATATTTGAGATGAATAAAGAAAGTAACAGAAGATAATGTATGTTACTGTTCCAATTTTCATCTCCTTTCATAGGCTGTGATTTTTGTATTTGCCCTGTTGATCCAAACTCCAGTGACTGCCTCTCCTACATTCAGAAGTCCCAGAAAAGGCTGTTTACAAATATTTTTTTCTCTGATTTCCTTTTTAGAAGATAAGTGAGTTTATGCCCTTTAAAGACTTAGTTACTACTATTAATCATGGAACTTTCCTTTAAACATGGGACTTAGATATCTACCTTTTTCACCCAGCATAAAAAATGAATTTTATTATTATGGAAAAGAAATCTGGTTTACTTTTCTTAAATTCTCATAGATTCATTTTCCAGTTACAGAGAAGGTAGTCACCCAGTGACTCAAGACTCATCTTTTTAATGATAATGTTTTCTATTTTATTTATTTCCTTTCAGGAAAGTTTCTAAGACCTTTAAACAACAAAAAAAAAGACAGAATTATCTTGCAGTTTAGATAGTATGCTGAGCTGGTTGATATCCATAGTTGTGTCATGTTACTTCCTTGATTTTTTTTTCCTCTCTCTTCAATGTTTGGGCAAGTGGTACAGCATGAAATAGCACAGTAGCTGTTCAAAATAAATTCATTTCCAAATTACAGTTGATGAAGTTTACTCAAAAGGAACTAAAAGTTTCCAGAAGAAAAAGGAAAATCTATGGAAACAATTGAAAATAAACAGCAATAAACAATAATTTCTACTATTTTACACCGCAAAGTCTATTTAAAGAATCCAAACTCTGTCACAGCAAACAGGCTCTTTAGGTCCTATCCTGCCAGACTCATAAAGTATTTAAAGAGTTTTAATATTATATTTCAAATTGCAGTTTTGGAATTTTCTCTTGTGTGTAGCTTACTAGTTTTTAAGCCAATGGGAATAATGATAAGTTTTGGGTTTTTTTCTTTTTGGTTTTCATTTGTATCAGTCTCATGTTCAGCTGCTGTTCACTGATATTACCATGGTACAAAAATGAAGCTGTCATTTTGGATTTGTTTTTTGGAAAAAAATAATATATTGTTCTTATTATGCTATGTGTGATGTGATTTTCCCTGTGGACTATCCTGGTAGAAGTAATATGTCTATGAAATTTGAATTAAAATAGATTAAATATCTGCAAAGATGTGCACTACAGATTTTTTTTTCTTCCTCAAATCTCAAAAATAAGCAATTATTTTGAAAAGACAAGCTAAAAGTACCAAGGGAGTCAAGGAGTAAAGGGCATTACCAGAAATAATCAAAACAATCTGGTATTCCAGGTACTTAACCTCAACCTTTTCCCCCCTTCCCTGCCTTTTTTACCCTCAGTAAAGTAGGGATGTATTTTGACTTTCTCTACAAGCAGTCAAACAATACCCACTTCTCAGCTTATGGATATTTCTGTATCAATCAGTGTTCCAACTGAGAACTTCAGTGTAATCAAATTCATTACATTATCATTTTGGCATTTTAATATAAATGGGATCATCAAGAAATTACATGATGCTACAGGGTTTTATTTGTAATGCTGTGCACAACTTAGAATTATCTGCTATGACATCTGATAACTCAGGAAATAAACCAACCTATTAATAGTACAGTTCTGTGTATTCTCATCAACTTCACACGCAAGCATTTATATATCTGAAAACCTTCAGTAAGTGAAAGAAAAAAAAATATCCCTTGCAATGTGTATGTGTCCTTGTTCAGGAGTACACAAAACCAAAATGAAATGTTTTCTAATGCTATATGACATTGTGAACAATTTAAGTCTTCAATGTTAAGTTGAAGGACATTTTGGTTTAGGATTTTAGTTTTCTAGCTGAAGCGTAGGATAACCACGCAATGCTATTATCGCTCAAATAGTTCAGAGAAGCCTTGTGTCCATATTATTCTCAGCAGAACCTAGACTCCTATTTTCCTGTTGCACGTGAAGAAAGCTTTCCACTGGAGAAGGCTACACAAAATGTGCTTTTCACTGTCAGGCTGTTGATGCTTCTTCCTAGCCAGCCAGGTGGAACCAGTAACTGATCTGTAGGAAGACTCATGACGCCTCCCCCACAACCCCTTTCTAACAACAACAAAAATATATATACATTCAGCAACACTTTTACTAATGCTTCAAGAGAAAAGAGGAATCGAGCGCAGGTGGGCCAGGCACACAGTTTGTAGTATGCAGACGTATATGGTTATCAGCCATCACTGTAACACCTTCATCTACTGGGATTTTGTCCTCAGTAATACAGCAGATTTGTGAAAGGCCAAAAGATGTGTAGATCCTAATTCTCAGGTCTGCCTTCTAGTTCTCTTTGTTTAAGGATTTTTTTTTTTGTCTGTTTGTTCAATTTCTGTGTGGTTTCTTCTGTAGGTTTCAGCAGAATATAAACATATGCACACATACAACTACATATGTATGTGTATTGTTTTGTAAATGTTCTCAATCATGCTTTTTTCTGCTTTACATCATTTATTCATGTATATTCCATGTTCTCATTTATTTTTTGTGCAACTAAACCTTATAATAAATTATTATTAAATATAACCTGACAGCAACAGAGTCTTCATGTTTGTTTTCTCCTGGGTATGGGGCCGAGAGGTTGGGGGGGAAAGGAGGGAGGGAGGAGAGCAAGGGCTACACTTCTGTTCCATCCCCAAATAGAAAGCACTGAAATAACTGGTGAGTGGCAAGGAGCCTGTAAAACCACACAGCTGTCAGATAGCAAGCTTCTCTTCATACTTTTAAATCTAGGTTCAAGGATCCCTGATATATTTGCTTTTGTCAACTGAATAGTACTGTTTGCCCAGAGGCAAAATAATACCTCCTGTGTGGAAAATCATGGATATTTACTATTCTATAGAGCTCTCAGTTTGAGATGCAAAAATCATGGACATAGACAACATCGAGCACACCACTTTTCTCACGCTGTCACATAGACTTCTCAGACACATGGATTTCTCAAACCGAATTAACTTTATGTGAACATATACAGTTCTGTGTATCAGGGCTGTTCTAAAACTCTTATTTAAGAGCATACCTACTGGGTAAAGATGTTTAAATTGCAGAATTACAAATAATCTTTAATTCTGCATATTAATAAAAAGATATGTTCATGCTGCAGGCTGCAGTACAACACAGACACAGCTGGTGTAACCTGACCCAAGCTGGCTGTCCAGCCAAAGCAGCCCAAGCCACGCTCAGCACAGTCAGTTTGACCTTCCACATCTCATCAGTGCAAAGAAAATGAAGTCTAAGCTACAAATACAAGGTCTGCACTTCAGTTACTTCATTCTTAAGAAGGAATCTAATGGTCTTTTCTTAGGTTTGTGTGAGACATTTTTGCAGTTGACATAAATCTCCTCTGTCTGCCTCAGTGATGATTCTTCTCCTCTTCTTTCTGTGTTCCATGTGCCATGAAAATTGGATCTTCCATAACTATTAGCAGGCTAGAAGAACATTAAGAAAAAAAGAAAAGAAAAAGTTGAAGGACTTTTCTCAAAACAGCTACATCTTTGACAAATTTTCTTCATATGTTGATTTATTACTGGGAAATATTCAACCATAAATCAAAATATTTTTTGTCTTTGTTTTCTACAAATACATTTGAAGTTCAAGTCATATGAAAATAGAAATTGTATTTTGAATGTGATTCACAGGTGTCCCACATCAGATGCCTGGTAAAGCACCAGTGGAATGCCCCTTCACCCTCACATACACACTTGAGATGCTGAAATAGTCTCCTATGTCAATCTTAAAACATGACTTACTCTAAAGATATCAACCATGCTAAGAATTAGTCATGTCATTAAGACAACTTAATGTGATGGTTCCTTGGTTAACTGGCATGGGAGGAAAGATGGTTTCTGAAGCAAATGGCTAGTCCCTAGCATATGGTCACCCTAAGAAGAGCTTCATTCCAGTACAGTGACCCAAGAGTCAGAATGAGAGAAATGGAAATGACAGGAGGACAAAAGGCTTTATAAGGACATATCTACAGTGGAGCTCACCTTTGGATCATACAGAAGTGCTGTCTAAGACAAGAAAGGAGGAAAGCTAGAGTCTTACATCAACTGTGAGAATGGGGTCAATTTCCCTAAGCACAACATAACTTCATACCCTGACTTAAGGGTATGAAGAGGCAAGGCAGAAGCAATGAAGTTGGCTCCTATCTTTCCACTCTAAATTTCAGGCCTTGAATAGGATTAAGGGGGCAAAAAGACTCAGAGCTCCAAAATATTGATTGTTACAATACAAAAAGAAAGGAGAAGCACTGAAACAGCTGCCCCAATGAATTATAGTGTTACTCACTTTTTCTGATAAGCACTGATGCAGAAGATCAGTAGGAAAACTAACAGTGAGACAGAAGCAGAAATTCCTCCAGCTATGTAGATAATAAACCATTTGTGATCCCAAGTCGCTGAAATATAATTGTAATAAATATGATTAGTATTTTGTATAAACCAGCATGAATTTTTAATGACATTATCCTATGACAGCCCATGCTCAGTGTTCAGACCTCACAACCATTTCCTGTTTCTAAAATGCCTTTGCTATACTGAATTAGCACTTATGAAAGTTGTGACTGGGATCACCAAAGGTGAGTGAACACAGCACAGTGGTATAAAAAATACAGTGATTCCTTGTATAATCCTTTCCTATCTTCTTCTCTTCCCTGGGGAGAAAGTAGTCCATACATAAGTGACTTTATATATGGACAAAAAAAACATTCAGACTACTTAAGTGAATGATCTTGACATTATAAAGGTTGTCCCACAAGTGATACCTAACAATCATGCCTAACAAAAATCCACAGGCAACAAGATATTTTTCAGGGTACCAGGAAGATCATCTCAGTCCTCAAGAGGTTTTCTATTCAGTACTGCACACAGTTGTATCAGTTATTTTCGGCTCTAATTCAAAACGAAAACTGTCCACTTTTTAACAAAAATATTTCCACAAAAATTTCTCCCAATGTGGTAACTTCTTTTTTAATAACCTAGTACGGTACATGCTTTGATAATGGATGTCAGGAAACCCATCCTATTTGTTCTAGTCTAAGCAAAAATATTTTCTTTGAGAATTACAAGAAAGGCAGGAAAAGTTACATTTATAGCAACTTTGCTTAAAATGTATTGTCTTCTTCAGTATGGAGTCACATCTTCAAATGAAGCTAATGAGCAACATGTAGTAACTGAAGAGTAGAGACAGGCAAATCAATGGCTTCAAGGTATAAGTCGATATATTCTTGTGGTGTCCAAGTTTGCAGAGAGGTAATGTGTTATTATTGTCATTTTGGAGGTGAAAAAATCTGGAGAAAAGAACAGAAGTAATATACTCAAAGTCACACAGGAAGCCCACACCACCAGTCCTCAGTACAGCTATCCTGCATTTAAAACATTTACAATTTTTTATCTTGTCACAATTCTGAACTTGGTTAGCAAACCACAGAAGTTCAAGTCAACATTCTGCAGCCCCCCACAGTGCCCTGCTCCCTGCTTAGTTGCATCTCTGCACTGGTGCTCTGTATGATTGAGAACAATAGCATACAAAGCAACCAAACACAAATAGTGACATTTCTGTACATAGTGTATTTGTGGCTAGCAGCATCAGCTACTACAGGACACATCTTAGCCAAATGATCTTACCAACTTCTAGCAGTCTCAAATGACCCTGTGTGTCAGCAATGTCTTGATGAAACATACATTGGGTGTGACTCTGCCCAAAGAAGGATTATTTCCTAAACTTTCTTCAATTTCTTACCATGTAGGAGTAAAATAAAACAAGAAGTACAAAAAAGTGAGGATGCCCTAGGATAAAAAAAGAGTAATGCCTCTTATACTACTTACTACAAGAGATAGTGGTCATATGTTATGGCCACAAACTTGTTTCTTGTATTTCAGATAAAAAATAGCAATTCGTTGGTGAACAGGAACTCAAAAACTGTCTTTAGGTTAGTCCCTCTTTAATGTTCTGCTCTCCGTACAGAGGAAGATAGCATACGAAGATGAAAACACAGCTGCCCTAAAGAGCTTTCATTCTGGGTAGACAAGAAAGTTACATGCTCAGTTCATAGGCAAAGGAAAACAATCAGTATCAATAACGACAGTAATCCCAGCTAATCAGCTGCTGAGCCATCACCAGATGGCTTTTCTTTCCTGGATTAAAAAGGTTCACAGCTTCTTATCTGGCTATCCTGAATGCCAGCTAAATCATAGAACCATAGAATTATAGAATAGTTTGGGTTAGAAGGGACCTTTAAAGGTCATCTAGTCCAACACCCCTGCAATGAGCAGGGACATCTTCAACTAGAGCAGGTTGCTCAGAGCCCCGTCCAACCCGACCTTGAATGTTTCCAGGGATGGGACATCTGCCACCTCTCTGGGCAACCTGCGCCAGTGTTTCACCACCCCCAATTGTGAACAATTTCTTCCTTCTATCCAGTCTGAACCTACCTTCTTTTAGTTTAAAACCATTAGCCCTTGTCCTATCACTACAGGCCCTGCTAAAAAGTCTGTCCCCATCTTTCTTATAAGCCCCTTCAAGCACTGGAAGGCTGCAGTAAGGTCTCCCCAGAGCTTTCTCTTCTCCAGGCTGATCCATTCCAACTCTCTGAGCCTGTCCTCATAAAAGAGGTGTTCCATCCCTCTGGTCATTTTTATGGCCCTCCTCTGGACCCACTCTAACTCATGCACATCTCTTTAGTATTAATGTTCTCATTGGAAACAAATGATAACATTGATAACAAAAAATACTGATTACAGAAGACTTTTCCTTGAATTCCAAAGCTATTTTTCTGGAAAGAGAAAAGAAAGAAAATTCTCTCAGAAGTTTAATCTCCTGAAGGTATGTGATACAGTAGAGAAGGCTGCCTGATAACAAAAACTGATGTCTTTTGTATTATAACAACATATAAAATTAGTCTACTTCCAGCATGTTTTCTTAACTTCTGTATACTTAAAATGACAGTATGGTACATATAACTATGCCCAGCTTCAGGAAAAATTATAATGTCTTTTTTTCCAAGTGTTTATCTACCTGACACAGAAAATCATTATTTGTGCCAGAGAGTACTTACAGAAATAAGGAGAAAACATCCTGTAAGCAACAACAAAAAAATTTTTAAATCTTGTATTTATTTATCATCAAAGATGGGTAAATCTGGATAGAGTTCCAGACTTCAGCAGCATCCCCACCCTTCAGTCTAAGCACTCCAGACCTCTTTTTTTTTTCCCCTGAAGTTTCCTCTTCAATTTTTTCCGGTCAAGATAATAATCTCTGAGTTAATGAGTTTGAGAGCCGAGATTATCAGCTGTCTGTTAAATTGGGATAAGAAAAACAATTAGATTTTTTTTTTAGAACCAACAACTCAAAGCCCTTTTGCTTTTTTTCATTTGAAGTGAGCAAAGCCTTCCTGAGGCATTTGTTTTCTCTGACTATACAAAACCTTTTGTAATACTGCCTTTAACATAACATTTAAGATTTTGCAGAAACATGTCAGAAGCTTGTCATGTGTCACTTTAGTTCTTGTGTTCTCATCAAAGGTGATATGCTGATGGGAAGCTATTAAGTGTATTTTCAGCATCAGTAAGTCAATACTTAACAATTTCTGTTAAGTATTAGACAACATGTGCCCCTGTCCACCATCTTCATAGCCTTGGCATTTTCTCTGCAAGACTGAAATTTTTGAGGGTGAAAGTTTTTGACCTTCAGTGCACTGACTTTGGTTTTGAGAAGGAAGCACTGATGGGCCAGACAATTATTTGTTCTAACAAGAGATTTGAACCGCACTGTAAAGATCTTCCTGTAGCTTGTCACATGAAGTGAAGTCCTTGCTGGACTGGCACATACAGTATGCTAACTAGACTTGACTGAAATAGTTTTGCCCACAACTGAAAGGCAGAAATCCAGCACGAATGTATTCTTGCCCAGAGAAAGGTGGTTTGTTGAGTAAAGACCCACAGGCATGGACTGATATCTCGTGTTTGTACTGGGTGAATTCATGAAGGAAGAAGGGAAGCTAATTTCACTCCTACCCTGATTTTCCTCACCCCTGACTGTAGCCTTACCTTCTGTCTGTTTTCTATGGCACAGAAGTACTGCTGTCTCCTCCCAGCTCCGATGGACTGTATGATGAACTTCAATGACTGGACAAGTAGTCCCTTGCTTTTTATCTGGGTGCTATGAAGATCATACTAGGTGCTATTGAAAGACATTTAAAGGGCAATTTAAAGGCACAGTCAACATGGCTTCACAAAGGGAAAGTCCTTTCTAACAACTAATCTGGTAACCTTCTACGATAAGGACATCTGCCTAGTGGATGAAGGGAACAAATGCCAGATTCTGCACCGAGGACAGAGTAATGCCGGGCACAAGTACAAACTGGGAGAGGGGTGGCTGGAGAGCAGCCCTGCAGAAAGGGATCTGAGGGTGCTGGTGGACAGCAGGCTCAATATGAGTCAGCCCTGTGCCCCGGCAGCCAAGAGGGCAAACCCCATCCTGGGGCGCACCAAACACAGCATAACCAGCCAGTCAAAAGAGGTGTCGGTGCAGCCTCATCTTGAGTCCTGTGTGCAGTTCTGGGCTACACAATTTAAGGATATTAAGGTATTTGCATGCATCCAGGGGAGGACAACAAAGCTGGAAGGGCTAGTACAACCCATAATGTAATTCTGACCCCTAAACATACATTTAAATACAACCACCAACCAGTTTTTCGGATCTAGTGGGAACACACAACAACACAGAATGTTTCTAATTTTCCTTTGTTGTAGAGAGCTTGCTATCCCACTTTCAGCTAAAGCAAGAAAAAAACTTACTAAATCTTTCTAAAAATGCCTAGGTCTTCAAAATGGAATAAGCATTTCTGTTTCAACCCTTCTAATTTTTCAGTTCTTTCATATGATATCTCCCCTTCTTTCCCAGTCATCTACCAAAATAATGCATGGATTTTAAGTCTGCTCCCTTCCTTCAAAAACATGCTAAAAAATGAAATCTAATCAAAAGAAAAAGCCCAGTAAGTAAAAATCAGAAACGGGTTCAGATGTGGAATTGGTGACATGACCAATCTCCATATTAATAGAATTTTTAGAAGGAGAAATATGGTGAAGAAACATCAGAAATTAATCCGAAGTCTCTTGAACACGTTGTATAATTATGTAATATTCAGCCTCCTGTTTCTGTACGTTTTGTCCAACAAAAGCTACACTACTTTGCAAACTTGTGTTGTTTTATGTTTTCCAGGTTTTGAGGTAAAAAAAGATTTGCAGAAGACCCATTTCAGCCAGAAATTCCTGTTACTGAATAACAACAATCACAATATTTAGTGGGATAGAACAGACAAACGTAATCATACTGAATGATTCTCATGGTTTTATTTGCACCAATGTTCAAAAACGTTAAATGCAGCATGCCACCTTCTAGTGATACAACTGCAAGAATATCACAGGCTTTCCCAGCACTTGAATACGTACTCACCTGTCTCCCTTTTTCCTTCATAGGATTTCTATGTTGTTTCTCTTTGCAAAAATACATTCACCTTTAGACAAGAAGCAAGTTGCTTCTTTCTACTGTTCCATCTCTTTGAATCAGCAGTTTTGGAATTATTATCAGTTCTGCACATAATCCTATGCTCTTATTTCTAACTCCTTTCACCCAAGATTACTCCTCTTTAAAAATTCTTGGCATCTTCTCAATGACAGTTTCTCAAAAAAAAAAAAAGTTTCTTATCTTTCCTCTTACTCTCTCTCAACATAAACAGGGTTTTCCCTATTACTGTTTACAGTGCAACTATTCCCCCAGCTCATAGACTCACTGTTTCAAAACATATCTGGAACTGGACAAGGTGAGAAGTTTTGCAGTACCCCTGCAGAACCACAGCAACAGACTAAAAATGTTGGAAGAGTTTGGTAGAAAATCCAAGCTCGAGTGTGGCTTATCTGTAATGTTAAGCCAAAGAAAATGAAGTGACTGAACTGATGGAACATGCACAAAAAATAGCATAGCAAGTTTCTGTCATCACTTGGTTTATTCAAGCCACAGCTGTTGCATCAAGCAAAGTCACTCGTGAATTTGTGCAAGACTTCACTGGCTATACAGTGTATGGTATATACAGGGTATGGTGTATATATACTTATATATATTTTTTATGTGTATATATATAGGAGCTGACTCCTGGCCTGTTGCTCCTTTCCCCTTAGTGTTTCTCCATATCTCACTGGAAATATTAATTGCATGTTATGAAACAGTTCCAAACAAAGAGAAATAATTGGAAATCTTTGAAACTTCACTTCCTTTGGAATTAATGAAAACTCAACAAAATGTGCTTCATAATACAAAGTGAGGTCTTAAAAGGGAGACAATGAGGTGTTTTCTGAATAATACTTTACTTCAGCTTCTTCAGTGGTTTCAGACCACTGTTCCAATAAGCAGGTATAACTATGCTAGCATTGTTAGAACTAAAAATGGTAAATAGGATTTGTTTCAAGAGCAAAAGCAGCATGGAAATTAATTTTTTTTTTTTTTTTTGTAGAAGAAATAGTTTGTGTAGGTAGGACTGACAATTCTTAAAGTTTTGTATTTTTTTGCAACTCATATGTTTTCATTTTGGTATGAGAAACACTGCACTTGGAGTAAACAAAAAATATTTCTGTTGCTCTACAATTTGGATATGCTTGATTGTATGAATATAGGCAACGTTTTGAAATTTGAATGCTTAAAATTGTCAGAGGTGAGATGCGGGAGAAGGATGGACTTCACAACTCTATGAGAGTTATATTCCGAAGCCGTTTATTGTCTTGTCTGACTCCAATATATATCATAATTTTCGCTTAGTCACTGCGCACACACTCATGATTGGTTACAACTTGTTACACACACTATTGCAATTGGCTATATACAAAATATCACGCGCCGTCCACGCGCCCCTCACACAGTCAGGATTGCTGCTTGCAGGTGTTCCTGTTTTCCTCGCTTCTTCTTAATTGTTTCCCACAGCTCCTTCTCCTCAAGGCCAAGCCGTGCAGATATCCAGCTGTTTACCAGCTTCTCAGTGCCACAGCTCCTTCTCCTTAAGGTCGAGCCACACAGGGTGATCCCAACAGTGAGAGGAATTTTTCTCCTGATACCCCTTGTCTTGTCATTACACTCTGCTCAGTTTCATGGACTGTTATGGTCAAGTATTCAGACTAAAACAGGTCAGCATTTTTTTCCTGAGCACCTTCTCCACTTCTTAATAACAATATCACAGATCACACATATTCTGAAGCTTCATATCCCATGCCATATCTTACTACTGCCAAAGAGAGATCTACTAACATTTATTTATTACCAGGAGCAAAAGCCATACCCTCAAAAGATACCAGAGAGCTGGACTGAATGGTGCAACGGGAGAAGAAGGACTGGGGTAGTATAGTGGTACATCTTTGAAATGCATGTTATAGAAAAGAACCAAAACTGAGTTTTTTTCAGTTATAACAGAAAACAGAATTAAAGGTGGGATTCAGCTCACAATTTGAGAAATCTTGTTTTAAGTGTTTGCATATGGAGACCTAAGGTCCCTTTATAATGAAACTGTGACAACAGTCACAGCAAAACCTAGAGAGCTTCTCAGCTCCCCCTGAAGAAACTCCTTACATGAATAAGGTAGAGGTCATTTTACAAATTTCTACATTTTCAAATGAGAGTGCTCTTTGCCTCCATTGGAGGACAGGTCTCTCCCCCAGGACCCTGCAGTGCACTGTGCTAATGGGGAATTCCCCTCACAGTTCCTTTGGGGAAATGGTCACCTCTCCCTGCAAACTCAGGCAGTCTCTCCTCTTCCAAAGCATCTCCTTCCTGACATCAAACCGGTTTCTCACAAACAGGTCTGAAGTCCTATAATGAGATCAGACAAGTTTAAAACCAGCTTCTTTCTGTGGAAACAAGGTTAATTGTTAACTTTGCTATCTTTTACATGGTGCTAATTGGAATGTGGTATTTAAATAAATCCTCACTTGTTATTGAAGAGTTGTTTTATATAGGTAAAAGTGTTAATACCTGAGAAGGTCCTATTGTAAAAATATTTACTCCTTTACTTACCAGCCACAGTAAAACTCATCACATCATACGTTTTGTTTCTTCTAGTAGCTACACAGTGGTACGTTGCAAAGTCAGAGGCAGTAATGTTTTGAATGACAAACATGGAGTTTGCCCGATCAGAGCAATCCACCAGTGTATGCTCTTTGAAATCTGAACCAAAGCTTTGCTATCCTGATGAGCCACACAGAACAACAATATCTACCTGATCTGCTTTAATCCTTTCCCACAACACTTGCTGCACAGAATCTCCAATTTTATAAGGGCAAGTAAAAGTGACATTTCCTCCTGGGTTGGTAAACATGTGATTATTTTGTTTCTCAGATACTTCAAAAGCATCTGTTAAAAAACACAGAAAAAAACAACAATAAAACTGCTTATCATTCATTCAAGGGAAGTTCAGTATCAACAATTCCTGTATAGCAAATATTAACAAAATTGACTTACAGCAGAAAGATACTCAGATCACTTCAAATATTGAAAAATATCATTTATACCTACCTATGACTATATTTTTGTGCACATTTAGACTAAACAGTCTGTTTGGAACTGTTAGTCTGTGATGACATTGCAAGAAAGCTATTTCTACACATTTTGAGTACATGAATGTTTCAGCAAATATTCAACAGCATAAATTATGGGGCCAGTCTAATTAAATTTGTGATAGTCTTGTTCTGCTTTCACACTAATTATAACAAGAAAATGGTTTGATGTGACCCTTAGGACATGCATTTGTAAATTATGTTAAAAGACATTCCAGACTATGAATTACAATTCACAAAGCTCACCACTTAAACAAAAAAAATCTTATTCATTCATATACACTACTTGGGAAAAACCTGTGCAATGGTCAGGTTGTGGCATGAAAGGAGACTTCCAGACAAATTCAAAACTTCCACCACATATAAACCATAGTTATATTATATCTTAAATAATTTTGACTGAAATCCCCCTGCTCTGAGTTACTGTTTTTAGTAATAGAATTCACTGTTTACCAATTAAGAAAAAAAATGTTAAAAAGTCTTCTAGTAGAAAGACTGTCCATGTTACTGATATTCAGAGCATTCACTAGCCACTTGGTCGGCTTTGTAATGTCTATGTCTCAGGTTAGGACTAGCACTGTCATGTTTTTGAAGACTTTAATTTTGGAAACATTAATGATCAGACAGCTTTTCCTACACTGTAAAAGGACTGGTCTTTCAAGTTTTTTTTATTACATATCTTTAAGTCAAAAAATGTCACTACCATGTATTTTTAATGTGTTTGCCTTTATCTATGGCAGCAATGTTGTCCAAGAAGGCCAACAGCATCCTGGCCTGTATCAGAAATACTGTGGCCAGCAGGAGCAGGGAAGTGATTGTGCCCCTGTACTCGGCACTGGTGAGGCCACACCTTGAATCCTGTGTTCAGTTTTGGGCCCCTCACTACAAGAAGGATGTTGAGGTGCTGGAGCGTGTCCAGAGAAGGGCAACGAAGCTGGTGAGGGGTCTGGAGCACAAGTCTTCTGAGGAGCGGCTGAGGGAACTGGGGTTGTTCAGCCTGGAGAGGAGGAGGCTGAGGGGAGACCTTATCGCTCTCTACAACTACCGGAAAGGGGGTTGTGGCGATGAGGGTTTTGGTCTCCTCTCCCAAGTAATCAGCAATAGGACGAGAGGAAATGGCCTCAAGTTGCACCAGGGGAGGTTTAGACTCGATATTAGGAAAAATTTCTTTACTGAGGCAGTGGTGAAACATTGGAACAGGCTGCCCAGGGAGGTGCTGGAGTCACCATCTCTGGAAGTGTTCAAAAAATATGTAGATGTGGCACTCGGGGACATGGTTTAGTGGACATGGTGGTGTTGGACTGACAGTTAGACTTGATGATCTTGAAGGTCTTTTCCAACTTTAATGATTCTATGATTCTACGATTCTATGAACTGGAAGCAGAGACAGAAAATTAAAGCTGCATAGGAAAAATGACAGTCATTAAATGCATCAAAATCTGTTTATAAAAAAAAGTTTTAAAATGAAGCTGTCGCCACATTCATGGGATGGGATAGTTACAGTAATACTCTGGGTGGAACTGAATACGCTGTAGGACTGAGCTAGATTTAGATCCTCTGTGATATAACATTCTTATCAAATATCTAGGGAAAAAAATGCTGGTAAACTGTATTGCATTGGATGATGGTAATGCCAGGGTTGTCAAAATCTTAGGTACTGGAGAAATCATCAATACAAGGTGGCCTAGCTCACCTCCTAAGCTAGGTGCAAAGAGTAGTAGGATTTCATGTGGGCAAACACACTACCCTAAATGTAGGAATAAGTGATTCCATTCATGTTGACGGGATGGAAACTTCGTTGTGAAAGTCTGTGACTTCCGAGACTTGGTGAATGAAAAAGCCTAGTCTGCCCTCTTTTATCATTGGAACACAGCACAGAAAAATTACATTCCTCTGCCTTTGGAGACCAGAAGTATGATGAAAACATTGAAAAGCTGAAAGACAAAAGGAACTGTGTCTAATGAGTTTACCTAAAAAAATTAATGAAGAACTTGAAGATTCATGTAGATGGCAATCAAGGAGACAGAAAGTTAATGATACACAAGAACAGAAGAGAGATAAATTCCCTAAACTAAACAGAAGGTACAACACAGTGAAGCTAATTAAGTCCTTGGACAGTTTGTCAAAGACAGCTAAATTTCCGTTGCTGAAGACAACTGCCAAGATTGGATAACCATTTAAGGTACGATGCTAGATCCAGCAAGAATTTACTCATGGAAGTCTAAGTAATATTCAAATCAGACTACTATGATGGGACTGTATACTTGCAAAATATGTTCCTTGAAGTGCAATCCTTCAAAAGTCATTACACGAGAAAAGGTGTGGGTTTTTTTATTTCTGGCAGATTCAGATCTGCAGGTTCAGAGCTGCTAGGGAAGATAGGTAAACAAAAAGGTAACTGAAAACAATTCTCTCTCTTACCCACCATACTCTTACAGGTCAGATCCTTACTTCCTGTCCCACTTTCCAGACCATTAACTTCCAGCAACTGCCTGCTTTACAATAAACCACATATTCTTACCCGAGAAATCTTATTGTCTTCACTGTGCAGTCTGCTGTCTTCTTCTGTTATGAGCAAGACCTACTGCTTGGTACCACAAGCAGTACCTGTGTAGGTACCGCGCTCTCCTTAGGAGCCTTGAAGTCTCCCCATCCGCTCCTGGGTCTATCCTTTCTGTCCTCTACAGTTCATGCCAATACTACCCTGAATTTCATGTGTTTCTCCTATCTAAACATGTTTATTAGGGAAATTATGTGCATCATGATGATATCTTCCAGAGGATTCCCATCTGACCCAAAGGACAGCAACCAGGACTGTATAAAAAACCACCTTTTTCCCAATAATATATAATACTACAACATAGACTACAACTACAACTACAACAATATATTGTAACAGGTATATTACAAATCTAAGGTTGCCTTGCAACTTCAGTGAAGAATTTCCAGGTACAAATCTTGATATATTTGTAGAATTTGCTGATATACAAATAATAAATAATATGTTAATGGTGAGAACTATGTACAAACAGACAAATTAAAATAGAGTTTTGAGATTCTCAGCTGCTGTACATTCTATCATAACCATTTTCAAACACAGACATCATGACACATTTTATTTTCTTGCATTGCATGTGTATTCTACTTGACAGTATGCAGCAACATTCAGGTAGTTTCACTCTTGATGAAAGATGTAAATCACTCTCCTTCTTACAATATGATACCTTGCATGACTTAAATGATTATGTAACGCACAAGCAGTGGAGAATCAGGCCTACATAGTTCTAATTAAATCTTCCAAGTACACTAAAGTGTTCCAGGCTTTTGTTTTAAGCAATTGTCCCATTTTATTTGGACACCAGCATCAGCATAGATCTTTCATCCTCCCTCTCTTTTGTTCAGCTCCTTTCTTTGTTTAGCTCCTTTCTGAACACACTTTCTATGCTTTCAGCCTAGAACACGTGGGATGAGAACCTCCCGTTCTGAGAAGTATTTCCATGGGGAAAAAAGCACGCCCACACACCTTCACCCCCGCGCACGCACACCTCGAGGTGACACACCATGCGTGAACACGTCAGAAATGCTAAAAAGAAATGTATCATTGCATCTGGTAAAAATGGACTTCCCCTGCCCGCTGCTCATTCCAGCCACTGCTACTGCTGCCTGCTTGTCCCCTGCCATGGCCACGTCATCTTGCCTCCTGGACAGAAAGTAGGAGGAGGTGACGGCACTCACAGTAGCTGCATTTACCTCTGCTTAGTAAAGAAGGGCTCTGTGTTTGATATCCTCTCTGCATCTCTTTTGGAATAATGTTATCTCATCATATTTTGCAGTTACACTTTTTTCTATCCGCTTTAGGGCTTTGATACATATAAATGAGAAAAAATATGTAAGCTTTCCTATTTTTAAAATACATTTTTCTTGGAAATATATATTAAAATCTCAGAAATATAGACATATAAAAGAGTGTAAACCAACTTCCCAGAATTTAAAGCATCAAGCAACTAAAATGAAGTTCTGCAGCAGGAAAATTGTTGAAATTAAGAAATTGCTTTTGGAAGGAAAAAAAAAAATAATGGTGTAATCCTCACCCGTTCCTCCTTTGCTACAAACAAGTAAAAGTCAAAATCAATATTATGTAAAATTTTGGTCCCCATTCTTTTAGGGGAGGACACTTTCTACTTTTTGGCCCCTGTCCTATACACTTCCATTATTTTTTTCATTATTCTGTTCTCCGACAGAATTAGCTGGTTTTGTATCTTCAAAGGAAAGTTGCTTAGATACCTGCACTTATTTTCAGCAAGTTTATTAATTTTTAAAGTCAGTATCTATGACATTTTAATTACTGTTCACTACAAGTTTCACCAATCCCAGATTTATAATCTTATACAAGATGCAGAGTTCCACTCAGGACTGAACATAAATCGTATGCACTCCTCCTGGTTTAAAACCTTATACAAAGGAAACAATACTCATACTTCAACATCAGTTTGGCAACTTCAGAAAGGCAAAATTCAGCACAGTAAAATAAAATGCATCAAAATACTCTTTTGGCTTTGCATGTTTCTGCATCTCTGTTGAGGCTTAAAGCTTAGCAGAGGTTGAGTACTACCAGAGCTGGTTTTATTCAAAGCAAGTTGCATGAGCTGCTGCAGGCAAGCGCACACACTGCTGAGCAACAAACGCAGGAAGTTGGCGTTTCCTACCCTCAGCCATCCCAGTACACAGACATTTTCCATGTGCTCCTGGGTACCACAAGGTCAGGACAAGCTCAGACTGCTCAGACTGATGCTAACA